GCTCGGCGGCCGCGGCGGGCTGGCACTCACCGGTCTCGGGCTCCGGCGCGCCGCTAGCTGGTCCCGGGGGCTGCACAGAGACCCTGAAAGGGGCGGCGGACGGCGGCGGAGCAGGAGCTGCGGCCGTGGGACCCGGTCCCCCAGCTGGGTAGTGGGTGCAGACGCTGCTGTAGAGCTGCATGTCCCTGCCCGCCGCTCGGCCCCTTATAGGCGCGGCGAGCCCCGGTGAGGGAGACACACCCTCCGGGCCCGGGGGAGGGGGCCGGTGGAGCGCGATGACCCAGTGCCCCTAGAATAGAAATTACTCAAGGGCTGCCGGCCGGCCGCGAGTGAAGAACCGCAAATAGCGCCCTGCTCCCCGCCAAATTCCTGCTGCGCCACAGCGCGCGGTGGGGGCGGGGAGGGAACGCGCGCTCGACCCCTGCCGGTGTGCTTGGCCCGCAGACCTGGGGCGCCGCGCCCGCTACCTCTGCTCCGGCCCGCGGCGGCCGCTGGGGACTCTCGGAGGAAGCCGCCCGCCAGGCTGGAGCGCTTCCCGCTCGCGAAGAGCTGTGCTGGGCCCGCTGAGGGGCAGGGAGGCGGGGCCGCGGTTGTTTACCTCAGGCCTCGCGGCTGCGTCACGTGGGCCCGCTGGAATGTGCGGCTCCTCAGGGCGCCCATTCAACCGCAAGGCTCGCCCCGCCCCCAGCCCCGCCCCGCCCCGTTCGGCCTACGTCACCTACGCGGACTGGCGGCGCGCGGGTGTGGCCGGGGAGGGGGGGGCAGGGGAGGAAGACCTCGCGGAGGCTGGGGCGCCTGCGCAGTCGAGGAATTCCTGGCCCTGTCCCGCGTGACTCGCGCGGCCGCTTCCTGTTCCTCAGCAGCAGGTGCCCGCACGGCGCTCCCCTGCGCTGCTGCGGGGACTGTGGCGGGATGGGCCGCTGCTTGGGACAGACTGTTCCCCGCTGAAAGCTGGAGTTTAGAAGGAAGCTTCCGGTGGCGCCCTGTGGCGGACAGGGCGCTGCCTTTAGACCCGCCTGACCCACCGTTCCTGCTTGCATTTGCCACTGTTTGGATCAAAATGTTAAGGTCGCATGACACCGCCAATCGTGCCCAGCACCTGGCTGCCCTGCTAAACCGAGACTTGTTTGCACCCCCTAATCCATGTTAACTAGCAGATGCATGACTTGGGAGAAAGGAAGCCTTACAAGCAGCCTTTAGAAATACCAAGTGGCTAACTTACCAGGGAAATGATGAGGAGACCTGGTTCCTGTCTTCTTGAGAGAGATAATTCGATCAAGATACAGTGTAGAAAAGCAAGCAAGAATTTACTGGCTGCAGCAAAAATATGCTTAGGAGGGCGAAACAAGGAAGGTGCATAGAAGTGACAGGAGAGCAGAGGCCGGGCTGCTTTGACTCACTGAGAGGTCAGAAGAGGGTAGGGGGAACAGGTGCTGGGACCTTGGAGACAGGTTCAGGGAGTAAGACCTGGACCAGCTGCTGCTGCCCACTGCTCCCCTGGTTGCAAGTATGGCGGGGTCCCCCCTGAGGGGAGGAGATAGTGGTGGGGTGCTGTAGGGTGGGGGTGTGAGCACACCCACTGGGACGTTCATTTTCAGGGGTGTTAAAAGGCTGGGCGTCTAGGGGAGATCTTAGGGAAGGATCAGTAGAATATCAGCCTTATGCTGATATACAAAATGAGGTTTCTTCTCTTCTTTTGTCCTTGGGTGTGGTGACAAATGGCACTAATTGGATTTCTGTTATTTGTCTCCCTGAGTGGGGTGATTTAAGCTATCTACTCTCTGGCTGGAGAGGAACAATGCAAACCATTTTCCCTTAAGTGTCCTTGGTTTACGGAAGATAGTATTTACTAGGTGGCCACACACTGCTTTTAACAATCTGCCTCAGTTTCCCTATTATGCTTGTCATGGAATTTTCCTAGCTTCATACTATACTGTAACAATGACCTCTGGCCTTTGGAAAATAGATGTGTCTGTAACCTTATGTCATTGGCAGTGTAGGGGGGGGGGTCTGAGGATCCTGCTGCATTCTAAAGCGGGGTAAAATATTGTAAACAGTTCTGCCCAACTGTATTAATTGTACCTTACAAAGGAAAGCCAGACTATTCATGTGATCAACCATGTATCAACTGTATAGAATACAGCAGCTTTTGCTACATTCTGAGTGCTGATCAAATGCTAAATTAACAGGTTCTAAAATTCAAATTGAACCTAGAAGCTATCCCATTGTTTCAGAGATGAGGCGATAGCTATAGGTTACAGTATACACCTTTCTCCACCCTCCTGCTGAAATAAAAATTCCACAAATAAAAAACCTTGTCTTGTTCCCTATTATAGTTACATCACCTGAGACTTATTTGGAGCTAATTAGTATTTACTGAATGAATTAATGGAAAATGAGTTCCCAGGACTTCTCAGACAGTGGTAGAGAAGCCAGAATTATGAATCTCAGTCTCCTGATCCTAGCCTGGGCTTTTAATTTGCTGTGGGTGGTGTGACTGGCAGGATCCCACCAGCAGCCCCTTGCGCAGGTCACTCCGTCCTGTTAGGTAAGTCAACTCAGAAGATAAAACAACTGTCTTTTTAACTTCTGGTGACTACCTTGTTGGGAGCTTGTTAGCCCCATTGACTAGATAAGAGAAATTAGATTTCATTGCTGCTTTTGGGGGTATCTGTTGCTCTCTGATTAAGCATTTACACCGAACTCTACCTATAGTCTTTCTGTACCTGGTGTTCTGAAACAGAAGACAATTAACAATAAAATAATCCTCAAATAATGTTTACTGAGTATCCATTGTGTGCCTAGCAGAGCTAGCAAAACAGGAGCCTGGAGGGAGATAAACTATAATATTTCAAACCTAAAGCAAGAATGCATTTTAACAGATTGGAGTCAACACAGAAAAAAAAATTAACATTAGATACACAGAGGACAGGCTAGTCTGATATACCAAATAGGGAACACACAGATAAAAACAAAAATGTGAAGATTGAAAACTTTAACATACATTAAGGCTTTCCCCTCCCTTTTAGATTGGGCGGGGGG